ACAATGCAGCGCTGCTGTCCCACCAGGGGGGGCTCTTCTCTCTACCTCTCAATGCCTCCTAATTGCAACTACTGCCCATCCTTTTGCTTCCGCAGCAGTGGCATACACCCCTGCACCATCCGGCCTCCTGCGCTGGAAGGGGGCATTTAGTGTAGGGCATTTTAACCATTTTTGATGTTACAATATCCAAGAATAGTCTTAATAGTCTTTGAATATCCCAATGAGAAATTTGTTGTTTTGTCAGGAACAAACATGAAAACACAGAGGGTTTAACATTTGTTAATTTGAGCACAGGTAGCATGAAAGGTGATCTGTACTTAATTGTTTGGTTGATTTAGTGATTTATCTTTGTGTTTTAGGTGTATGTGATTTAACATTCTACCTACAGCTGCCCTATGGAGCAATAACTTTTAAGTTGCACAGCTTGCAGTATACAAATTTGTCATTTTTTTCATATTTCCATATGTAGCCCTGCTTAGGGGTCACCATTTGCATTTACAGCATTCAGCAGACATTTAGCACACAATTGATATTATTTTTTCGTTCAATTCCACATGCCTTTTACATAAAGCTGTAGAATATATATCGGCCCTTAGTGATATTGCAGAAAACATATGCATGCAAATACAAATTAGCCCTCTACCTCTACTTACAATATGTTTGATCAAACACAGTTTCAGATAAATATTTCTGTTGGTGTTTTGATGAATTAAGGTATTCATAGGGCAGAGCATAGGAGAGAGCTGAATATTGAATACTGCAGGGGACAATTTAAGCTAAGAAGAAAATAAGAATCAGAAATATCAACAAATTAATCTGTTTCAGGTCTGTCAGGTCTAGTGTCTATGGAACTGCTTAAGAACTGTATCCAGTAGATGTGGCTGATTCTGTCCTATATAGATTTATTACATGTTGCTCATGTAGCATTTTAAGTTGCAGTCTTACAATCATCTTGTTATTGCTTGACGCCTTGGTGTCTTTCTCTTCCATCTGACTCATTGTCGCCGTTCTTGGCAGACTCTAAGGCACAATGAATATGGTTTCACTTAACTAGACATAGGGTAGGATATTTTCTTTCATGCATTTGACAAGATTTTGCTACACTTGCCTAAGCTTCACATACAAAATTGGTAAGAAATTGGTTTCTAATAGTATTTGTATTGTTAACCAAGAAAAACCCACTCTGTTTTATTGTTTCCCCTTTTCCTCAGCAGGAAAACTCATTCATTTTATGAACATGTGGCTAGCTAGCAAGTAACCAAACCCATTGTCTAGACGCTTGTCAGGGCTCAATAAAATTCGAGAAGAATAAAAATGCAACCATTGGCTAGATATCCTAATAGGCCGCTTGTGTGCTGCTAATACTATCTTATAGAAAAAAGTAATCAAGTGATGCTATACAGGCAAAAAAAACAAAACAAATGTATCTGTTTTTTTTTTTATATTAGCATCAACAGCACACTGTATTTACAGCTTTCATCACTCCAGAAATCCAAAAACATTTCTTTCTTTTTTCTTTCGTTAGTACATCTCTGTTTGACGTGCACTTCACTGACTCACCAAAAATTTGTCTGTCATGTCTGAGGTGGGAGAACTTTCCAGTCTTCAAACAACAACAGAGAACTAAGTACCAATTGTCATAGTTATCAGTGCCAAATGTATTTGTGCAATGACATGCATTTGTGACAAGAATAATGTATTGTACTCTGTTAGAGGGGGGCTCACAGGTTGTCAATTGAAATATTGGAGGGGATGCATCCCCTTGCCCTCTGGTTCCTATGCCCCTGTCATAAGGTATGCAAATTATTTTGGTCAGAATAATGCAGGCTGGTCTTTAACCATGTCACATGATTAATGCACCAGTGTGTTCTTAATGTATTGCAGTATCTAGCAATATAATTGAAACAAGGCATTTGATATGCAGCCCTTCTTATATGCATACCTGATTAAGTGTGATGAAGACAAGATGGGTTTGGATATTTGGATATTTGAATAACCACACCCATTGCTAGTTCATTATTCCTCCAGGCCAAGGGTGGTGCTGTCTCTATATAAAGACCCCACTGCAACATGCTGTGTTATATTCATATTCACATCACAGGGGTGTAGCCGCAACGCCCCAGCTTCCACTCCCACCCCTCCTCCTCCTCTCCTCATGTCTGCAAGTGACTCTGGAGCTCATGCAGCTGTCTAGTGCTTCTCACTGGCTGCTAAGAAACCCAGGCTGCTGGCTGGAAACATCATGATGTGCAGTCTCGAGTGTGGGCATGCATTAGAGTGAGAGACTGGTGTTGCAAATTCAACTGATTAGTGAAGCTTTTCCTATCAAGAGAGTCAAAGAAGGGGAGAAACTTGGAGCTCTTTTTTACCTGTCCTTCTATCTAATGCCATCAGTGTGAGGAAACACGTGCGTTGCCATTTGATGGTTTAGACTTTGATTAGAGGCGACAGAACGCATGTCACCTGAGGTGGATGAGCTGCGGGGTGTGTGTGTATGTGTGACAGGAAGCGTTTGACAGCGAGTGCACACACAGCCATATGGCATCATGTGTGTGTCTGTGTGTGTGGCACTTTCTGACTGAAACGCTCCACGTTCTCTCGGTGCCTTGATTGACAGGTTGGCCTCAGGGCCCTGTCTCTGTCATTGATGTTTGTCAGAGATGCTCCTCTGGGACTCGAATATCATCCAATTATTACCAACCTCCTCCATTTCTCTCACTCTCTCTCTCTCTCACTTTCTCTCTCTCTGTGTGTCTCTCTCTCTCCCACGCATCCTCCCAGGCTGTTTGAGCATTCCAAAACATTATGGAGGCTTATGAAAGAGAAGGGCCGCATTTTGACACTAATTGGCGATTTTTTTCCGACACGATGTACCATTAGTGCATGTTTGGTATTCAGGATGAACCTGTTAGAATAATGCATTAACTCACCTTGTTGACACTTAATATTTAGAACAGCTGCCAGTTGGTGGTGTAAACAAACTAAATGCTGAAAATTTCTTTTTCTCTCTCATCCCCCTCTCCAACTCTGTTTTCTTGCTCTGTGTCAGGCGTGGGTGATATAACAATTTGATATCTTCATCAGAGTAAATTACGTCACAAGGTTTTTTAAAGAATACTGACCGACTGCATAATTTAAGAGGGGCATCCAAGTGATGTAGCTGTACAGCAGTACTTTTGCATTACAGCGGAGCGAAGCAGTTTTTATTTTGCCTCCCATTGTTTTCTGTGGAGACAGGTGGCAGTCGTGCATGGATGATAGCAGCAGTGGCAGCAGGGCGAAACAGGCGAAGAGAGCAAAAAAAAAAGTTGAGAATTTCTGAACTTTACAGAGAAGCGTATTTCTCCAGGCAGTGGCTAGCCAGATTGTTGAGATGTAGTGCAGTGCATCCATAGTCAAGCTACATGCTGAAACCAGTGAAGGTTTTGGAGAAGATTGGGGGAGATTATTAAGCTGTCTGAAAAATTTAATAACAATATTTGGCCTTTTGACCTGTGTTCAGAGCACAGAACTAGAACAAAATTTCACCTTGTTGTCAGCCCTCACAAAAAATGAATTTCATATGTAAAAAAAAAGTGGTTTTTGCACGCTTATTATGTTAAAAATGTGTTCATGTGACAAAATATATAATCACATGAAAATTTTCTTATAAAAAATTCCCAAATTTCCTGGTAAGTATAGACAAACCTCTGGAAAATTAGTAAATTGATAAAATATCCTGGAAATATTAGTGAAATCCTAAAAAAATGTGCAGTTGTGAAGTGTGAAGGCCAATGATTTCATATTTGAACATATTCTTTTTTGCGTACTTTTATTTTACATTGTATTTTAAGCTGCTAATGCCCAGTTTGAGTGTCCATTCATACCTATTATAGTTTGGAATGCTACAGTGTTGCACAGGGACAGATAGGAGGACGCTGTGTCAGAGTGCCTTGTTTCTTCTTCAGTTACTTCTAATATTTTAGTAGAGCTGCGTAAGTATATTACTAAGTCAGTAAGGGGTCATTAAGGATTGTATTGTTGACTTTAATGTTAAAGGAATGGTTTGGCAAAAAATCAAATGTACACAATTTTCCGCTTAGCCCAGATGTGGTCGGTCGGCAGACAACGCTAACATAAAAATGCATTACCAAACTTCTTTCAACCTGCTCAAACCACACCCAGATCTTCATTAAGGTCCCACAGACTTATCATTATGCAACACGACTGTGAACTATAAAAGTGAACATAACTATGGGCAGCCACTTTGAACAACAGGGCCTATATTCACAAACCACCCCAGGAGTAGTGCTGATCTAGAATCAGTGTTTATGACAATGAGTGTCATAAATATGGAGGAATCAGATTCAAGATCAGTCCTGTTTTGTGAATACAACCCTGCTGTTGTCCGAAATGGCCGACTTTAGAGATGAAGTTTTGTTCATTTTTATTATTAAGTCATATTGTGCTCAAAACCACATTTACAAGTCTGCGCAGCACTACTGAAGACATGAGTGTGGTTTGAGCTGGTTGAGAGATATTTTGAGGATTTATTTTCACAGGAACAGTGCAGGATTATTTGAGTTCCGGTGTGTGTTAGGCTCGTAGCTCCAGTTCTAAAATAAAGAAACTAAATTTGGACTCCAAACACGTCTTGGCTTATTGACTACATCTGGGGTAAGCGGAAAATTGGGTAAACTGTTTCTCCGAACTGTTTCTTTAAGAATGATGGCAGTAGTGCATGACCTTTCCTGAGCAGCAGCTCTTTTGTAAATAAGTCAGAGGATTGTCCTGGGAAAAGATTTCCCTAAAAAGAGTTTGATATAGTTTTTGATAAATCTCTTAAAAATGTAGCAGTGAGGTTTTGCTGGTGCATTTTGTCCATTCCAATTTTTGAAGACTGGGAAAAACAAAATATCATCATAGTGATTCTGTATTGTTACATTTGGTAATTTTTGCCATTTCCCACACCTAATCTCTCTCTCTCTCTCTCTCACTCTCTCTTTCATTCTGTCATTTAGTGCTGCGGGACGATTTCAGGCAGAACCCTCAGGATGTGGTGGTTGCAGTAGGAGAATCAGCAACACTGGAGTGCCAACCTCCTCGAGGCCACCCCGAGCCCACCACCTTCTGGAGAAAAGATAAAGCTCGGCTCGACCTCAAAGACGACAGGATTACTGTGAGTGCTGGCTGCGTCCCACCTGAACAACAGAGTTGTTGGCACACCCCTTAAGCTATATTCACATATCTCAGTCTGTACTATAGTATTTTCATAGCATCCTTAGCATTCATCACTGCATTTCAAGTTCATGTTATGTACTGTAAGAGATTTAAATCAGTGTGCATGACATGATGCCTAAAGTGTTATCCCAATTAATTTGACCTTTGCTCAGATCCGGGGTGGGAAGCTGACCATATCCAACACCAGAAAGAGTGATGGGGGGATGTATGTGTGCGTGGCAACCAACATGGTGGGGGAGAGGGAGAGCGAAATGGCTCAACTCTCTGTGTTTGGTAAGGGACAAGTAATGTATCACACCTTTAACTGTACTTAACTGGAACCTGAAGTTAAATTGAAGTGTGTAATAGTAATTTTACATTCTACTGTTTTTAGTTATGCCTTTGTGTGTTTTGGTAGAAAGATAGACAGATGTACTTTCTGGATTCCTGGAGGCGAATTCCTGGATTTGAGTAAAATATAGTGGACATTGTGTACACATAGTAAACAGATATATAATTATGCATGCTTCACATGTTTACACATACACACATTGCAGAGGAATCAGCGCAAAAAAAAAAAATATGACATAAATTGCACAAGACAATAACCTCCAACCAAAACATTAACATTTAGTGGTGTGCATGTAAAAAATAATCAAACTAACAAAACACAGAACTAAGAATAAAATCTGGGGTGTGAAACGTATCGATGCATCATGATCAATAAATCTAAATCAACTTTAATGATTTTGGAATGTTATAATTGATTATAACCAACAAAACAAAGTGCTCGAAGTCTAACCAAAAGCTTGACTTATTGTTTTTTATCTGTATTTTGCTACTATATAAATAGTTCCTCCAGTCACATTTGTATATTTAGCATAAAAAAGTATTTCTGAATTATTCCAAGATCAAATTGTGGCAAAATTTGAGATTTTGTATTGTAAAAAAAACCTTTTCATATTGCACAGAACTGCACAAATTATAATCACATTGTGAATAGTAGTGGACATTATACCAGTTCATCTGATGTATTCATTGAAATTATTCTAAAAGTATGCATTTTGTCACAACCTTTATACCAGTGTGTCACAAACAAGCACAGATTACGTAACGTACACGCAGTGCAAAACACACTAATGCTATGCAGTTTAGCTGAATGGCTAATGGCACACATAGCTAATTGGAGTCAGGGATGTTTTAGTCACATTTCATGAAAAAAGTAAGAAAATTTGTTTGAGGGAACAGACATTAGCAAGAAATATATAAAGAAAGGCCGATCTCTTGGGGTAAGCCCAGTTTCCTCTCGTTTTGCCTGTGACACTGCCTCCCTTGGTCAGTTGCATCAGACGAATCTTTTTTTTATGTATTTCTTGCTAATCCCATTAGCCATTCATGGGCCTGGTCCTCACATCAAGCTGAGAATCTACAGCTTAAGAGCTGCTACTGACTGTGAATGGCTGTAATATTTTCAAAACTCTTGCGTTGTCCTACATACTCGTAGGTGTAAGTACTGTATGGGACGCACTTACCGTCAAATGACTTGAGAAATTTGTGCCATCAAGTCGATTCTGGCTCCTGGCTATCATATGGATAGTCTTTTTTCCAGAGCATCCGGTCTTCTGTTTGGCTCTTCAGGCTTCTTAATGGCTTGCTCACGATTCCTCTGATTGTCTCCATCCATCTTGTTGCAGGTCGTCCTCTTGCTCTTTTATCTTTCTAGCATAAATATCTTTTCCAATTAATGTGTTCTTCTCAGAACATTCCCAAAATAAAATAGCTCTAGTTCGGTTATTTGAGTGAGGTGAGGCTTGATTTAATCAGGGATTCATGTATTTGTTTTCTTTGCCATTTAGGATATTCTTAAAAGTCTTCACCAAAGTTCAAAGAGATCAGTATATTTCCTGTCATGTTTTTATGTTGCCCAGCTGTCACATCCATAAAGAGTCACAGAAAAGACCATAGCATGGACAGTTCTGATCTTTGTTTGTAGAGACACATCATTTGAAGATCTTTTCAAGTTCCCTCATCCTTATTCTGCTGATTGTTGCGTTTCCTGACTGCTGGATCATTTGCTTTTAATAATTGATTCAAGTAGGCAAAAACTGTCCACCGCTTTTCCATCTTTACAGTCAGTGGTAAAGTTAGCAGTCTTTCCCATGCTCACAAGCTTTGTTTTCTTCATTTTGAGCTCAAGTCCCATTTTTTTCCTCTCTGATCTTTGACTTTCCTCCTAAGAGCCTTCAGATCTTCTTGTTTTTCCACTATGATTGTCATGTCATCCACATATCAAAGATTATCAATGTTCCTCCCACCAATCTTGAATCTATGAACATCTTCCTCCAGTCCTGCTTCTCTTATTATATGTTTAGCATACTGGTTGAGCAAGTATAGTGTTAGTAAGCAGCCTAACTCTTATAACCTTATGTGGAACAAGTCCATTTATAGATTTTCTTTTTCTGTGTCTGGCTGTGGCTTGTTGGTCATTGTAGAGGTTCCTAAGTTTATCTATGTATCGTTCAGTTCTGTTTTAACTATTTTGCACAAAACAAGTTCCGTTTAATTTATTGTTAAACGTGATTCTTATTAAACGTGAAGTGACATCACATGATAATAAACCACTGTTAACCAACAAAATAGGTTTACTTAACCCCTTAAAATTTCAGGCTTATTACATACTAAGGCTAATTATTCAGTAACTACAGGGACTTCCATGCAAACTGGCTGAGCTATTCTTAGGTTATAGAATAGAATGTAATAAAACTTTGGGCCCGGCTGGTGGGCCATAGCCATTTAAAGGGCTAAACATCTTAAATGGTTTTATTTGACAAAAATTAACATCCACTATAAATTGTAAGGTTTAACAGTAAAATAGAATAGAACACAAATCAGAATTTGTGTATGTGTGCTTACATTTACACACGTGTTTGTTTGTGTGTGCAATATGCTCATTATTACCTGCTCACACGTGTGCATACATGTGTGCATGCACTTGTATTTGTGTGTTCCAGAACGGCCCACGTTCGTGCGCAGGCCAGTGAACCAGGTGGTGCTGGTGGATGAAAGTGTGGAGTTCAGGTGTCAGGTGGAAGGAGACCCCCCTCCTTCGCTGCGCTGGAGGAAGGATGAGGCAGAGATCCCCCGAGGCAGGTGAGGGAAACCTCCCTCATGGCACCTACCTTTTTGCCTTTCACTATGACTGAACTGTCCTGCATTGATCTGCTGCACTGATGTACTGCATTGTACTGCATTTGATTCCACAGGCCAGGCATCCCTGATGTACTGCTTTTGTATGCTGCGTGACAGATAGCAATAGATTAGAATGCAAAGCTTGAGGTCAGAATGCAAATGGTGTTCTGTAAAGCTGAGCTGCAGTACTGTGGATTTGTTATGGCATGCATGTTAAGAGCATGCTGCTTTTTACTGGAGCTTTTAGGCAGTACCATAGAGATAAATGGATACGAGGACAAATGAAAGAAATGAATGCAACCTTTATAGGTGTCTGTGGACTGTGTACACTGTGTGTACAGTGTGTCTTGAATTGGCATTTTACAAAAACTACTTGTTTCTTTCTTGAAACTGAAAAGGCAAAGGCACTTTTTTAGTTATTGGGGGTTAAGGTTAGGGGTAAGTTTAGAAAATTTATATTAATTGTTCTGCTGTTGTAGCCCATTCGCCTGAAGGTTTGATGTTTTGTACATTCTGAGATGCCTTTTGGCTCAGCACAATTGTATAAAGTGGTTAGCTGGGTTACCAAAGCCTTTCTGTGAGGTTGATCCAGTCTAGCCATTCTCCACTGACCTCTGTCAACAAGGCAATTCCGTCCGCAGAGCTGCTGCTGACTCGGTTTTTTTCTTTATTGCAAAATTCTGAGAAACTCTAGAGCAGTGGTTTTCAACCTGTGGGCCGCGGCCTGCAAGTGGGCCACAGTGGTACCGCTAGGGGACTGCGGCCAATATGTAAACATTTAACAAAATGCTATTTTAAATATGACTAATTATTCGCAAAATTATTCGCATATTTAGGTCGATCTTATTTATTAGTTTGACAAAATGCTAGCTATGTTAGCTATGCTATGATAATATTTTATAATCTGGTGCGAGACAATGTAAAATATTTCTCGTTTCAATTGCATGGAATTCATCCATCATGGATTGATGGTTACAACAAGGTCTTTCAAAAGAAATATGCAGAGGCTGGACCACCCACAGGTGGAACAGTCACCTTATCTCAGACTGCGAAAAACAAGAAAACCAAATATAAAGTGAAACAAAGAAGATACAGCAGTGACTCCCAAGCCTTTTCATGTTTTGACAAAAATGTACAAACCGGCAGCATGTCTTCGGGTGAAATTATTCATTTTTCAGGATATTATTATTCATAATAATTATTCATATTTCAGAGGAGATTAGATATAATTTAATCCACTTGCACAGTGAAGTGGATATCTGTTTCTGTGTGGGTTAATAACACTGTGTACATAAAAGATCAGGTTTAGTTCCACTCTTGTGTTGTTTACTCTGAGCTATTCCACTGCAAACTACAAGGCACAAATACTTAGTACAAGTACTAAGAACATACTTACTTATTTTTCAGTTTAAAAGAAGTATACTGTTAGCACACTTAAATAAACTTCTTTTTTGTAACAGGTATTACAACATGTCTCTCTTTGGTTATGTTTCAAAAATATTATATTATATTAGATTAGATTATAAAACTATTTTAAATTAATAACACATTTTCTGAACCTAATAATAAACCTAACCCTAACCTTAAACTTTACTAAAAGTAAATGCTTTTGCCTTACTAGTTTGAATATGAATGAAACAAATCAGGACATACTGTACATGTACATGATTAGTCAATACTGTACTTGAATGTGGTCATACCCAAGGCTATGGAAATGGACAGGGAAAGAGGGAAGGAGAGAAAGAAGAGAGAGAGAGAGCAGCAGGCTGTAACTGCAGTGTTTGACAGAGGGCTTTGTCTTTTTCCGTTTCCATCCCCACGAGCTTTGTTTCAGAGCTTCAGCCCCCACTGGCTGTTCAATACTCTCCACACAACAAAGGCTTCGGCTTCAGATGAATGATGGAGTACATCTACTGCTTATGTGTCCACTGCTCATAGCTTCATAGTTAGAACACGCACAGCAGTCGACTAGAGCTGTTCTTTGCACAAATCCATAATTGCCTTGCTCTCACTGTGCCTCTGTGCTAAATTGCCACGCCACTGCAGCATTTTCTGTGCACACATTGCATCAGTCTGGACTTCAGCCTCAATTTCCATCTCATTATATTACATTAGCTAACAGAGATGGCCATGCTGAATGGCAGAATGAAATCAACTGTCTGTATTACATTAACACTCCATTAGCTTGTTTTAGAACCAGTCAAATCAGGTAGAAAGACTCCTTTATTTGGCCTAATAGTACTGTATTTGGCAGTGTTTTTGATATGAACGAGGTCATAAGCCCTGACTTGGAATCTGGAATCAATTAGGATAGAGTATCAGTTATAAGACTGTATACAACTGACCAAATTATGGACCTCAACTGGGAGTTTTGGAATGATATGTTCACTATTTATATGGTTATCTCTAAGCTTTGTTTTTTGTCAGGCTTGGTTACGGTGTTTAGAGTAGGCATGTGCATAGGTACTCATGTACTTGCTTAACCGTTCAAGGTGCCAGTTTTCAGGTAGTTGTGTATTGTGTTTCATTGTGGTAAAATTGTTGAAAATATATGGGCTAACAGTTCAGTGGAACGTACATATTAACATAACTCTTAAACAAGAAAATTTTGCTAGTATTTGCGAGTAAGTATTATATTGTTATGCTATAGCACTTCAAGACCCAGGTGCCTTAACGTGAGCTTGTTGCTAAGGGCGCATTGCTAAGGACGTGAGAAAGCAGAGACAGCACATCCTTAAAAGATAGCACAGGCCCAGAAACAGAGGAGATATATTCATCTGGCAAACTAATGTATTGGCATATCATCCACCGAGGACAAAAACAATTGCTGTAGAAGATCCTCATCAGCATATGGTGTCATTTAGGTTAGTTCTAGTATCTCAGTAGCTCATCTGAGGCAGCCTCCACATTTCGCTGCCTGGGCTGTCATGTAAAAAGGTAAACCACAGCCCTTTATTAGTTTCAGATGAAATCTGTTCTTTTTTTCTCTTCTTTATTTTATTTATTTGTGCTGCTGTTTATTCCTTTCCCGCAGTTAACCAAAAGTCATCATGAACTGTTACTTGTACTCAAATATCAAAATTAGTCAAAATGCTCATGCCTAGTTAAGAGGTGCACAATATTAGCGATGGCGCAATACCACTTTTCTTTTCTGATACTGGTACCAAATACCAATACCAATCCAGGATTGTCCCTTACCTCATTAAATGGCCAGAAGCCATCAGTTGTCTTCCACTCCTCTGTCCTTGAACTTAAGGATAACTTGCTTGGTTTGTATTGTAAACTGAGTAATAAGCTTTAGACCACAGTATGCCTCAGAATTTAAGAGATTTAAATCTGCAGTGAGCCATTATTAACTGAAGCCCTTTTTTTAAGTTAGCCATCACTCAGCTGTCCTACTGGAAGATGTACATAGCCAACAACATGACTTATGCAAAACTGCAGTTTTTTCTTCTAAGTGTAACAGAATTGGCAGTGAGTGTTCTCCAACTACGCTGAACTGGAAGTTTAAAAAGATGCACTTGATAGCCTTCACCCTCCCAGCTTGATAACATTCTATGATAGGGGGGAGACCTGACTAATAGGTGGAACTGGCAATGATTAAATTGTGGCAGGGGGGAATGTGGGGCGACTGTTTTGTGACCTTTGTACTTCATTTTGTGTTATGTTGTGCTTAGAGCAGTTCTGTGATATTTCAAGATTTCCTACAGAATCTGATTTTTACTTTTTTTCAGATCCAGTTATGCATTTTCTGTTGGTATAGCCCAACACTGGGTGCCAAATTGTGCATTCTCTATTTTTCATCATAATTTTATATATATATATATTGTTTGTTTAAAATTTCAAATGAGTTAAGAAGTCTCACTTCTTGCCCTCACCTTCAGATAACCTGAAATAAACCCTTGTCTGGGTTTTCAGGCAGTGAGGTTCAGAGGAGTCTGTGTGTGTGTGCTGTGGTGATGCCGCTACTCCTCTAGGTGTGAGAGTGGTGTGAAGTGCTGAGTCGTGTATGGGGAGTCTCTCGTGTGGTGGACAGAGTCTTGCTGCCTTTCCGCCAGCTAAATAATGGCCCAGTTCCAGGCCCCTCGCCCCTCGCCTCTCTCTCCTCCACT